TGTAGTAGAAGAATTTTAATTTTTTTGAAAATATAAAGTTACATGGAAAATCGTATTTTTTTATGATAATCAATAATCTCCATACATCATGGATGGTATGACGAATTTTAGCCATCATAAAGTGTGTTAATGTTTATATTTATGCTCCACAAGACATGAGATCTTATTTTGGACTGTGCCATTACGCCAGGGGCGGACCTATGAAGGGCCCAGTGGGGGCAGCCCACTGGGCCCTTAATTTTTTGCTTAAAAAAAGCCCACCCAACTCAAGCCCAAGACTTTTAAAATTTTGAAAGAAGCCCAAGCCCTCTTCCTTTTCCCTTTGAGGAAATTACACCCAAACTGGTATTTAAGATACCAATTTCACAAATCAGGTCACTGATTTAACTTTTCCAAAATCAGGTTTTTCTTTTTAATTAAATATTAATTATATTATTTTCATTACAATTAAAATAACCCTAATTAAACCTAAAATTCACTTTTTCTCCTCCAGTCGGTTTTCTCTCCTCTCAGGCTCTTCTCCTCTCGCCGCCGCCGCTGCTCTTCTCCTCTAGCCGCCACCACGTTTCTCCCCCTCCAGCCGATTCTCTATCTTCTCCTCCCACTGCCACCACGTTTCTCCCCTCCAGTCGATTCTCTATCTTCTCTCCCTCACTGCCAATCGTCGTTGCACATAGGAGCAGATCTGTCCGTTGCTTCTTTTTTTTTTGTTATGGTGGATCTGTGTGGTTGGGACGTCGATCTGTGTGCGGTGAGTGCAGATTTTTCTTTTTGTTTTTTTTTGTTATGGTGAATTCGGCGGCGGTTTTTGGCGGATCCAGTGGTTGTGTGCGGTGACCAGTTGTTTGTGTGCGGTGATGGTGCAGTGTTTTGTGTGGTTGTTGGCGATGGTGTATCTGGCGGTAGAGGTGAGTTTGTGGTAGCGGTTGTTGGCGATGGTGGTGGCGGTTGTTGGCGGTGATTTTGTTAATATAGATAGTGTTGGTACTTGTGGCGGTCGACGATGGTGGTGGTGGTGTGGTTAGGTGCAGTTGGGGCTGCGGTTGGGTGCGGTTGAGGCTGCGATCTGTTGGTAGTGGCGTCAGTGGTCCATTTGGTGTTGTTTGGTTACTGAGGCGGCAACAGTGGTGGAGCCGCTGATGGGGGAAGTGGCGAAGTCGTGGTCACAAATGATTTGGAGGTGGTTACAAATGATTAGGTCGTTTGTGACCAATAATTTGGTTAGTTTGTGACCAATGAATTAGATAAATTGTTACCAATAAATACTTTGTGACCTAAAAATTATTAAATTGTGACCAACAATTTGCTAAATTGTGACCTAAAATATAATATATGTTAATTAATGGGATGTTTGTGACCGTAAATGAGTATTGTGATTTACAAATTTTGTGATTTGTGACCAATAAAAAAATTGTGACTTTAAAATTTTTAAGTTGTGACCGATAAACAAATTGTGACCTATGAAAATTTTGAATTGTGACCTAAAAAATTTTGAATTGTGACCAATTTGTATAGATCTGTGACTTAAACATATTCGTCGGAATCGGATCAGTCGCCGAAAAAGTCGTCGAGACGGTTGCTGTAGAAGAGTGGTGACCGGAACGGTCTCCGGAATACCCCCGGAGTTGGGGGTGGGGGTGGGGGTGGGTTAATTATTTTATAGTAGAATTAAATATTAATAATAAATTAATTTAATAATTATTATTTCATAATTAAAATTATAAAGAAACCTGATTTTTGAAATTTAAAACAAGTTTTGGTAGTTTTGAAATGTGTAAAAGAAAAAGGCTGATTTATGTATTCTTCCGTGGCCCAGTTTTACCAATCCTTAGCTTGTTAGTCGTTTCCCCCAATTCTCTCCACGGCTGGCGATTTCCCCCAGTTCAAGGCTCTCTTCTCCGGTTCTCCCCTCCCCGACTGGCGTTTTTCCTCTCTGGCGTTCACTCACTCAACATTACAGAACAAACGAAAGGTGCAACTTTTTCTCCTTTTATGTATTTGGTTTTCAGTTTAAGTTTTACGCAGGGCCGGGGCGGTTTGGTTTGGTTTGGTTTTGTATAAATACACTGATGAATTCATGCTTTCATGAATTTAAATCGAACAATTTGTTGACATTTAATGTCTATTTGTCGTTATTATCGACGGTAACCTAGACATATCTTAGCATTGTATCGTATTTGACGTGCTCCTTGCCTTCTCTTTGCAGGTAAGCCTTTATTCAAACTGTTCATGCTCATTCCTCACTAGCTTTTAAGCACATTTGCTGATAACTTATGCTTGTCAGCTTGTGTGTATCTAAATGACTAAATCAATAAATTTGTTGTCTTTCATTTGCCCATGTATTCACTTAGTTTGAAATTTTGAGTATATATCAGCTGTTAAAATAGCTATTAATTGGCTGATTTATTGATATGTTTACCGACACAAAGCTCAATTATGCTTGTCACTTTTAAATAATAGGCACTTCAAAACCCAAAGACTGAATCTTTTGACGATGCCATATTCCATGACAAGGATGAGTTAGCTGCAGATGTTCATGGTAGAGAGGTACTTGTCCTTCAAATTCTCCAAGTAAAAATAGCCTTTAATCCAATTTGTGTCCTGGTTTAATTTGAAGCTTTTTATTTTTCCATGGGCGATTAGGTTTCTGTTCTTTTATTTGTTAACATTTATAAATCTCCCTTTATGTCATAATTGTGTCTGTCTGAGATGTATCTTCCTTTGAATTTTGTCTTGTTTGCATGTTCCAAATTATAGACCTCTTTTCCTTCAATTTTTATGATCAGATTGATTTTCCTAAGGATTTATAATGGATTGTCCTACATTTCTTTTCTCTGTCTCTTCCTTTTGCTTTATCAGAAAGATTCAATTTTGAATATTATCTTTATATTTTTTAAAATTATTTTTTACGAAATCTCGCCCCCCCGGACAATAATCCTGGTTCCGCCCCTGCATTATGCAATCTATCTTTTGATTTTCTAGGTTTCGTCTCAATGGAACGAGGAAATACTCGATGAGGCAAGTTCTCTTGCAAATCACTTGCACAAAGTAATTTCTACGTCTTCCTAACTAAACTACAATGTTTTTAAAGAAGACAGACACAAATCAAATACACACAAAAAAATCCCGGTCCAATATTTGTTTTCACTGTAATAGAGAAAAAAAATGTACAAGGGTTTTTTCATGTCCCTCTGTCTGCATGTGTCTCACACGAATGGCCAAAAAGATCTTTTATACATTCTTGGAACAACTTAATACAAACTTTTAATACTTTGCTCCTTTTTTGATTTTGTTAAAAATTAGATTTTTAGTATATTTCGATAAAAGTTGATTAAACAAGTGATGGAAAAGTTGATAGCCGTGGGTCACATAAAATATGTAATTAAAACTCGAAAATGAGTTTGAGAAAAATTAAAATATTGGGACTTAATATACCTACGAGCCCAACATTCTAACCCTCTGTTTGAGCACTATTTTTTGAGAATAAATTTTGTAAAATGTTATATGTTGGGGAAAATGAGATTAAAAAGTAGTAAAAAAACTTTGAATTTACATGCAAAATTATTTTATTAGAGGAATATGTGGTTAAAAATGATTTTGGACGAAAATGAGTTTTCAAGAATGGAACTCAAACATGGTTAAATGTCTACCGGAACAAAGCTCATGAAATTCTTGTGATGTACATAGGATGTAGTAAGTCCAAGTTACGGTACAGCATCTCCTTCTCCACAAGTCAAGGCGTCACCTCCTCCTCCACCAGTCAAAGGTGCTACCGCCACCTCCACCAATAAAGGCCACACTCTCAAGTCCCACCTACACCATTCAGGGTGCTTCTGCCTCCGCCGCCTACCACACCTGTACCAAAAACTAAACTAGGTAATGTCTTACTAGTAACTAGTGCTTGAAGATTCAAAATTTGGAAGAAATTTTGTATCGTGCTTGCTTATTGTCTTTGCAGAGTGCAGTCCTCTGCGTAGAAAGGTGCAAGTTGCACTCTCGAAAGAGATTATGCATGAGAGCGTGCATGACTTGTTGTGACCGATGCAAATGCGTTCCTCCAGGACAACATGGAAACAAAGAAAAATGTGGCAAATGCTACACAGAAATGACTACCCGTGGTGGGAAGTCCAAGTGTCCTTGAACGAAGATTATAGACGTGTTTGGTACGATAGTGCTTTTTCAATATTGTTCACCGAGATCTATTCTTCCTCATCAAACATGTCACATATCACATATGCATTCTTGCTTATTTCTATGGTCAAATGTTACTCAAATACGCTAAATACATAATTTTAGCACTAAAGAAAGGGAATAACACGAGTCTCTTATTGGAAGTTAGTTTTAAGAAATTTCTCTTATGTCTGCAATTACTAAAGTTATAGTTTTATCCATAGACGATGCCCGATCCTTGTATGGCATCAACTAAATTTGCCAGTTTCCATATGTAAAAGATTAATGAAAAATATAAGCACGAAATCGGTAAATCAAACCACAACACAGCAATGAAATTTCATAGCTTAAATGAACACTACTCGAGTCCTTGCTTGAAAATGAGTTCGGGAGCAATGGTCGTGAGATGAGAGAAGAATGGAAGATCATACGATATTAAAAGTTCAGCACTTCAACTAAAAGGGACATATCTGACGATAATAATTTACACAATCTGCAGATAATAAGCCGAGTATCTAAGAGTCGTCACATCTTTAAACAAAATCCATCGGCAAGAAAGCACGATATTCTTGTACCTTGGGAACTCACTTCGGGCGAAAACCCAAAATAACAAAGAAGACCACAGACAAATGCATTAATAATGAATTGGACCAAGTCTGAATGGCGTGACTAGCTGTTAAACAAAAAAACATTCAGCAGGATTAACAATGCCAAGAACTCGACTTCTTTATATTCACCCAAAACCACAAGGAATATTAACAGCTCGAGACACAACCACAAAAATCTATATTACACAGGTCATTATTCAAACTGATACAAGATTTAGGGCATCACATATTTACTGTTGTCTCTTTTATTTCTTCCAACGTAATGGCCTGCACAGCAGAAGGAACTGTGAGAAAATTCAGAAAGACTTTTCTAGAAGAATTATTTCTAGTGTCGAGGGCGACAGGAACAACTTTTAATGGACAAGCAACATCACATCTTTAATTATGTTGTGCCAATATAAACTTCAAGTAACAAGCCTTCTTGTACTCCAATGTCTATTCGCAGAATAAATCAAAGCTCAGATTTCAAAGTGAAATGAGAAAGTGATCAGTTAATTACCTGTTCCTGGCCAGCAAAATCATTATCAGGGGTTAGAAAAAGCATGCAGTGGCATTCCTTCCTGCCAGGAAATAATGCAATCAGGATATGAAACATAATTGAACTATATGAATTGCATGCATAGTAAAAATTAAAATGTGACGCATTGAGAAGGAAAAAAGGCTGTGTGAAAAAGTAAATCAGGATCAATTCGACCAAAGTGGTAAGCGCAAATTAATTTAGATTCATAATAGCATTAAAAAAAATAAAGAAATTTACATGACAACAGACCACAAGCGTAGGCCAAGAGGTGACCAAAGCCTAGTTCAGGTGGTAAGTCCGAAGCATTACCAGGCAATAGACCTTTGTTCAAGTCACATCCAGGGGTAGAGGTTAAATATAAAAAGAGTAAGGTAGGCAAGAGAAGACATGCGAGCCAACACAAAATGAAACATACAATGAATGAGAGCTGCAAATTTAGTCTAGAGTGGATTTCAACATCCCCAACTGAAATCCATGAAAAATATCAGACTTCACATTCATAAGACTTCCAAAATGCTTATTGAGCCTCAGAAATAATAGAAAAATTACATAGCATACCAAATTTTGATTAAGAAATAACTAGTATTTTGACCAACAAGTCCTAATTGTACCTCGTTCGAGCCAACAACAACAGAGTAATTAATACTCAGTAATTACTCTGGGGTCAACTACTTGAATTGTATTTGTTATAAACTACACGAATCATTTTCATTACAATGATCCATAAATAAGTCAAATTCTATATCTATATGGATCAAATCCTAGCAACAAATTATGCTATAGAAATTTAGTCTGGAGTTGATAGTAAACGTTTGAGAGGTTGCACGATTATACATGAAAGATCCATTATTGACTATGTCTTTATCACTTTTGGAAATATCAACAGGATTGTAAAGTTCACTTTCTCAGTATCTCGTCAACTTAGCTGATACAGAGCATAGTTTGGTTTTGAGTTTCTTCTCTGGTGACTTTCTTTGTTTAATAGGATTCCATCGGTGCCCTTGTTCACTTTTCATCTTTGGAATGAAATGGAATCAAGACCAAACCTTAATCCTGGTATCTACACAAGGTTACTTTTTAAGAAAGTACTTGAGACTCCAAGTTCTCTCTTCTCACAGGCCCAAGGATCTTGTGTCAATTCTATGCAAATCACAGAGTTACGGGGTGCCATGTTCAAAAGATCAAAACTATCCAGGATTCCAAGGTTTTGAATGCTATTTATACTGGAAAATTCTATTATTATCAACTATATTAAACCGTATTAGTACAAGTATATCCTAAAGTTTCATTCTTCGCTGTAACGACAAAGATGCCCAAGTACAAGAATGAAAAGCAGGCTGCTGAACCCATATGATCAAAGAAGAAAATGATAACTGCAGGGAGAGAAAAATAACAAACAGCATCAACCTTTACCTTTCTCTCATAGGAACACAAGGGCAGTTCCAAAAGCCCTGCTGTACCTCAGCGGGTTTATCATCGTAGTGCCTAAACAAAATAAAAGAACATCTAAAGTTACAAAAGCCATGGTTGACATTTGGGAATATAGGAAAAGAACACAATAAAAAGGAATTTATTCATAACTAAATTCCAGGAATTTACCTGCATGGGCAGAGTGGTGCACCCAATGTATCCTTGTGGTCTGCCAATCCCTGTACATATTCCAATAATGTCTTTATAACCAATAATTTGATTCATAGAAAACACTTAATACTAACACAAGCAGATTTACCAAACAGTGAATCAAATATGAGAAAAAATTTATAAGTATGGAGTTCGTCACAACACAGCAAAGATGCTGATGCAAGAAGCATGAGGAGCTATATATAAAGTTTCCTTACAAATGTTAATGGAAATACTGATCACAAAATCTTAGAGGCAATATAATTAGTGGATGATAAATTGTGAAGTTTACAAAATATAAGGATAATAGGTTTGACCAGCTTAAAATATAATGTAAGCTTTGCTAAACATGATATTCGTTAGGCCAACTACGGTTGAGATTAAAGTAATCTCCATCCATCAAAAAAACTGTAAAATGTTTATAGTATAGTAGGCAAGAAAAGCTATAATTACCCACCCAACCAACTAGAAATAGACAATCAATCAATCATTGATTGGGAATTGCAAACAGACCTAATACTTGGGCACTCATCCTTTTGAAATCCTTTTCAGTTTCAACAGTTTATATGGTTTGGTAAAGCATGTGCTGTGAGGGAGCAGCGGCTCAAAATAGGTTGCCAAGGCTGCTTTTCTCTTGTTTTCAATAGTGACAGTTTTTTGGAAAACTTTAACTCCAGCTTATGGCAGCCATTTCGTAGTCATTGACTGTTAAAATTTTGCAAATTCTCACTCCAAAAGGATGGTATTCAGCAAAACAGTTGGGATCATCCTTAATGATAAAATCTACTTCAAAACATCATTGTAGTAGAATTTGGAATCAGTGTATTCTTAAATTGGGAATAAAAAGCCTCTACAAAATAAAATCAAGAACCGAGCTGATTCTTTCTCCTAAACCTAGCATAACAGCTGAATATGCTTATGAACAAGTACCCTCACAGGATTGATTTGTCATCTTCCATAGAGAACGTGCCTGTTCTTGTTTGCAGCTGGTGAATCAAGTCATGAAATGCTTTATTAATGATCATTTTCCAAACAAATAGCACAATCTTCATGACTTTAGAAGTTATCCAGAAAGATTGCATGATGATTTGAATGGAGAGAGTGCAGAACTAGAGCGCTAGCATACGTCTCACCGTCTCATTTAGCTCGCTGCTTGCTTTTATTAAGAGGAGATTAATTTGATTTTAACGAAGTATTCTTGAGGATGCTTTCTTGCTAGAAAGCATAGCACTAATACCAGCAGCAAACTTGATATTATTTTGGAACGCCAAATTTAAACTGCAATTCCTGAGTTCACACTTCCTTGATTGCTTAATTGCTAGTAATTCACCAATCATCTAATTCCTTCTAACTTTTAGACTAATAAGAATGAAATACACACACACACACAAACACACACACACACACACACACCTTGATAACAACTGAAGTAACCCCTTTATCTACACAGAAGTACGTGCCCGATCTCCGAGCATACTGCTCCGAGAACTTCCTCATTATTTCCACTGATTTCTCCGAAGGCTCCACTACATATTCAACGCAAATAATAAATAAAAAAATTAATGAATTTCTAAACAGAATCCTCAAAATTCGATAAAATATAAGAAAATTACCTTGCGCTAAAATCACATGGCGATGCCGAGAAGGCCGCAGCAGAGGAGCGGCGGGTGAAATGCCAAATCCGACGCTGTAAGAAGTGGATGCTTGAAGAGCTTTCATGGAGAAATTTTTCTCCTTTTTAATATTCTCCTATTTTTAGCAAATAAAAAAATATCTATTTGCCTGGATTTAAATTTTATTGCATTTGGGATATTTCTAGCTGAGATTTCTTTCTTAAGATTTGTGTGTACGATTTGGAGGTGGCGAATCGAGCGCCACTCGTTGAAAATAACGGCAGAGAGAATTACTGAACCACTCAGTTCAATCCTTCAAACCATCACTAAACTCGATCGGGACTCGGACTCGATCGGAGTTTGGGCTTAATTGAAAAAGGGAAAATTAGGCCAGGTACTCTATAAAAATAACTATTTTGATTAATACCTTTTAAACTAATTAAACATTTTAATCAAGTAAAATCCTAATCCTAAACTAAAACTCCAACCCCCGTAACCCAAAACAAGCAGACTCTCTCATCCCAGAAACCACTCTCATCCCGGAAACGCAGGCCGAGAAATCGCGATTTGTAATCTCCATTTCCGGCCGATTTTGGTCGATTTCGTCGTCATATTTCTTCGTCTCCGTTCATCTTCAATATCCTCCTTCTCATTCCGTGGAGATCCGGAAACGCAGGCCGAGAAATCGCGATTGGTAATCTCCATTTCCGGCCGATTTTGGTCGATTTCGTCGTCATATTTCTTCGTCTCCGTTCATCTTCAATATCCTCCTTCTCATTCCGTGGAGATCTTAAACATCGATCCTAAAACCCCCAAATAGTTGAAACCCTAATCTGCTCCGATCAAAATCCAGAAATCTAAGTTCGATTCTGACTTATTCACTTCGACACCCCACCGACACTGACTTAGATACCGGACTCCTATTTCCTGAATGGCTGGAGAAAGTGGGTTGAAGAGGAAAAGAAATATTGATGAAGAACCGAAGAAAAACAAAATATCTTCAACATCTTATAAACCCAAGGTAGCATTAACTTCTTCAATTTCCCCTTTTGTGTATACGATTTATTTTTAGTTCCTTGTTGTGATTAAGAGATTTGTACACTTCACAAAAAATGATCTGCCTTTGTTCGTCCTGTATTTGGGTCACATTTTATTGATTAAGAGTATTTGTCCAACTGGTTATGGAATGACTCAAAATACTAGTTACTCATTCAAACAATACTAGTTACTGATTCACATTTTATTGCTCGTGAACAAAACCTCTTCAGTTCATGAAGAACATGCAAAAAATTGATTGATTTATACTAGTTACTCATTCAAAATACTAGTTACTCATTCAAACAATACTAGTTACTCATTCACATTTTATTGCTCGTGAACAGAACCTCTTCAGTTCATGAAAAACATGCAAAAAATTGATTGATTTATAGTCTAAGATGTTCTAAGAATGAATCTTGGCATTAGCAACCCTTGAATGCAAATTTGAGTTTACAATTATCCAGATTTTGGAAAGAATTATTTAATCCAACAATTATGCTTTCTACTTCTCAACGAGTTGTTTTGTAGCATTTGAGGAGAATATTGCACCATTTTTCTCTTTTGTCCTTGACATGATTATGCAGTCGACCAAATCTGCCTTTGTTCGTCCTGTATTTGGCTCATATTTATAAATGGATGTGTAATATATGGATGTGTGCTGTAGGGTGGGGTGGGATGGGGTGGGGAGCTTAATTAAGATTTGCTTTTGAATTTTTCATTAATAAATACTAACATGGAGCTGGACCCTGTCTCTTTGTGGGTTGGATTACACTAGTTAACAATGTTGCTATGTA